AGTGAGGAGACACCCGGGTGGCCATGGGGTGGGGGTGACAGGCAGAGCCAGTGGGTGTTCTGCAGCAGAGGAGACTGGGTAGGTGGTCGCCGTGCTTGGGAGGGGCCTGCACATGGTCCTGCCCGGTTGATGGGGTGGCAAGGAGACTGGGAGGCAGAGGATCTCAGATCCTAGAGTGACGAGGAGGTGGAGGACAGGCATGAGAAGCAAGCCGTCATATAAAACTGTGCCACAGTTTGGGGGACAGTCTAGAATAGAGGTACAGAGTAAAGAAAGACAATTTGGGGGAGATGGAGGTGGGGATGGGACAGGTCCCCTGTGGACAGGAGTGGAGTAAGATGGGTACAGACGGGCAGAGAGATGGCAGGTTCTGGGCACGGCTGGGAAGGGGCAAAACGCCGAAAGAGCCCCAGAGAGACAGCAGCAGGAAGACAGGCCAGTGGGCACGTGCCTACCTGAAGTGGGAGAGGAGGATGCGACACTCGTCCCGGGAGGTGTGGGCCCCTGGCCTTCCCAGTGGCTTCCAGGCCTTGGTGTCGAGCAAGGTAGTATTGCTGCCATAGACGCGGGCGTGACTGGGCTGCTGGGCACAGTGCTTGAACGTGAGGGTGCAGGGCTTCAGGAAGGAGGCCCCATGGGGGCCGCACGCCACCACAGGGCTCACCAGCCCCTGGGATCGGGAGAGTGATGGGGCGTCCGACAGGTCCCACACCAGGATCAGAGACACCCGCTCCTGGCGGCCCACAACCACAGCACCTGGGGATATGGAGACCATGATGGGCCCAGCAGGCGGCCACGCCGTGACCCCAAAAGAAGCCAAGCCAAAGTGGAGGGGGAGGAGGTGGGGCGGGAGAGAGAGTGTCCAGCAGGGCAGATGGGGAGAGCAAGACGACCATGAGCCAACATGTGCAATCCTAAGCAAGGCGCCTCCCTCCCTTCCAGGACAGCTGTGAGCCTCCGCACTGCCTGTGGGAATCTGCAAATGTGCTCTTCCTCCCCTTCACGGCAGAATTGTCATAGTGTACCGATTCATTAGGAGAAGGCACTTCACTTCTACCTGCCAGGAAGCTGTCCTATAAGACAGGTAATGCCCAGGGAATGGCAGGTGGCGTGGTGGGTAAGAGTGCTGGACTCCCACAGGGCTGACCATGGTTCACATCCTGGACCTGGCAGCTTGCTTTCTCCCTCTCTTTCTCCTTCATTCTATCCCTCTCTGGTCAAATTTTTAAATAAATAAATAAATAAATAAAATTAAAATAAAATACTTTTTTAAAATAAAAAAGATAGTGTCAATCTTTGGAGACAATGAAGTTGTATTAAAAATATAAACAGGGGCTGGGACCAGCAGGTGGTATGGTGGTTAAGGCGCTAGATGATCCCACATGGTTGACCATGGTTCAAGTCCGGACCTGGTGGCTTGCTTTCTCACTTTCCTTCCCTCTCACTCTGCATTTCTCTCTAGTCAAATTAAGATAAATTAATG